GGAAGGAAGGAAGGAAGGAAGGAAGGAAGGAAGGAAGGAAGGAAGGAAGGAAAGAGAAGGGGGGAAGGGAAGGAAAAAAGGAAAGAGAAAAAGAAATAATTGAATTATAGGACACCTAGCTTATGTCTACTATAGAATTGCTTGTTGCTTGCTTGCTTGCTTGCAAGGAAATCCCCACACATCTGGTATCAGAAGTGTGCTGTCAGAGTACGGTGGAAGAAATTGAATTTGTTTTTCTTTTTTTTACTCACTTGGAAATGAGTTGTCAAAGGCAAATGAACAATTACAAGAGATGTCAAAAGTAACCGTCACTGAGCTAAGCTATATTTTAAGAGCTGACTTCTAGATAGTCAATACAAATCACCTTAACAAGGTCTGTACCAACTCAATTTTTCAATTGCAGTAATATAAACTTGATAATTGTAGATATCCAAATTTACAGTCATTGTCCTAAGAAGCTGAGTAGGATGACACAATTAACCCTCTTGAATTGCTGGGATTCAAATAGGGTCTAAGCTTGCTAATATAACCTTGGTGTTAAGTGTCTGATAAATTATAAGGCACAGAATTTAGGAGACATACTATTGCCAGGCAAGTTATTAGATTTGATTACACAGCAGTGGTGAAGATAAATGATGACTCACAGGTTTACATGCAAGTCTCTTTAGTGTAGCAGGAAACTGTAGTTGATAGTCCACAGGGTAATTGAACACAACTTGCCTATTTTTTTCCCCAGGGAAACCCAGTTCAAAAGGAGTGATCTGTAAGCCCTGAATACATGCTACTTGCCCTCAGAGAAGGCTAGGTCTCATCACCCAGTTCAAAAATAGCAATTCAGTCTTCTTTTAACTCTAAGTACAGGTTGAACATCCCAAATCCAAAATGCTCCAAAATCCAAAATTTCTTGAGTACGGATATGACTCTGCAAATGGAAAATTCCACACCTGACCACATGAAATGGGTCACAGTTAAAATGCAGTCAAAACTTTGTTTTATGCAAAAAATTATTTAAAATATTATATAAAATTACCTTCAGGCTATGTGTATATGAAATATAAATGAATATTGGGTTCCATCCCCAAGATATCACATTATGCATGGGCAAATATTCCAAAATCTGAAATATCAAACACTTCTGGCCCCAAGCCTTTCAGATAAGGGATATTCAGCCTGAACTAAAACTATAATTCAGAGATAGGTAATTCAATCATCAGCAAATTCAGAAAACTACCTTTCCTGGAACTTTCTGACCAGAGAAATCTCATCCCAGATCTAGAACTGTAAAAGGCAAGATTAAGGGTCATAATCCCAAATGAATACCATACCTCTGCAGGACACTTGTTAAGCAGCCATTTATCTTCAAAGATCCATTTTAATGCAATCTCAAACTCTTTGCAGAAATCAAACAGAATTTAGAGTAGTAGTAATGGCTGACACAAAGTAGAACGTGAAAAGTGCCATAAAAAAAGGTGTTATGGAAATTCAGAGGTAAAAAAAGAGTACTTCTCCTTGGACAAGGGAGAAAGACCTCCAGGTGTTATTCTTATAAGGTGATTTCTGAGCCCAACTAAGAATATACAGAACTGAAGTTGAGATCTATTCCAGTTAAATTGCTTTTTAAATTAAACGGGTGCACAGAAGGAGAGAGATGAGATCAAATAGTTCAGCTTGACTAGAATTTCAGAAGAGCAAAGGAAGGTGATGTTGGAAACATATTTTGGTGTTGTAAAGGAATGACCTCCTTAATTAGTGAAATCTCAGGTCCTCTAAGAGATGAACAATAATAAACTCATAACAATAGGAACAGGGTAGCTGTTCAATAGGGGACTAACTCTTCTTTCCTGTGGTTTTTTTTTTTTTTTCCTTCTGATTATTTTTATCATAGCCCCAGGATTATAATACTTCCCTTTTTTTCTCTAGGCAAAGCATGAATAAAAGCAAAATTAAATCCTATATTATTCTTTACACAAATAGGGTATTACTTTTTATCCAAATACCTTATTTATATTTCATTGTTTGTATTTTAATTATTTTAAAACATAATTTAGCTTTATTTTCAAATGAAGTTAAAGAACAAAATTATCAGCAAACATCAAGGAAGAGTCTTAAACAAGTTACATACCTACTGTTTTTACTTAGAAAGTTTTCCATATCATTTTCTATTCTCATTATTTGAAAGACTGCTCATCTATGTTAGTTCATTTACTTTTTTCAAGTAAGGGTTGCAGCTTTGTCATGAGGTAATAAGTGGGTTTCACATTCTACCCTAGGAATTTGGGTGTTATTCTATAAGCACTAGTAAAGAGTCCAAAAATGCAATGACTAGAAAAACCACATGCAGTCAGCTCTCTGTATGTGAGGTTTCTATATCCACAGATTTAACCAAAACCAAATCAAAAATATTCAAGGGGAAAAAAAAAACAACAAAATAATACAAACTAATACAAATAAAAAAATATGGTATAACAACCCTTTACATAGCATTTACATTACATTAGGTATTATAAGTAATCTAGCAGTGATTTAAAGTATATGAAAGGATGGGTAGAGAGTATATTCAAATACTACACCATTTTATATAAAGGACTCAAGCATCCATGGATTTTTGTATCCAAGGAGACCAGGGACAACTGTAATCACAGTTTTATTTAAGGAAGATTTCTAGTGGAAGGTGGAAGACAAAACAAGTCAAGAAGGATACTGGAAACTGGAATTAAGAGGCTAATTCAATAGCCCACGTAAGTAGTAATAAAAGCATAAAACAGTACAGGCGAAGTGATAAAGGAGAAGAAGGAAGAGAGAGTAAAATATAATGTAGAACGATATCCGATAATTGTTATCTGTAGAATAAGGTAACAGGATGCAAAGATAACACCAAGATCTCTAGGTAAATCCATTTTGTAAGCAACCACTCCACTAGACGATGTGCCAGGAAATAAGTTCAGAACAATACTAACAGATGAAAAAGCAGCTGGAGTGATGAGAAATCTGGTTACAGGCATAGGTTCAAGAAATGAGAGGTTCAACACTGGAAGCATGTAAAAATCAGTCAGGCAAACTGTGATCAGAATCCAAAGCTCAAGACTCAAAATCAAAAATATGAGATCTCGATTCTGGAGTACTCTAATAAAGTCAAGATGATTTCAGAGTCGTAAGTCTTAGTTTTGTCCTACTAAAGTCTAAAGGTTCCTGAACAAAACATCACTATGCTTTAAAGATCTAGAGCCGCACTAGTATGGGTGTCACATATATCTACAAAACAGTCACATATGACTCTTTATATCTGAATTAAATTAATAAAAACTAAGTCACATTTAAAATTCAACTCCTTAGTCATACTAGACACATTTCAAATGATTAACAGCCACATTTAGCTACAGAGTACCATATTGCACGGTGCAGATACATACTATTTCCACCATTGCAAAAATTTCTATTGGACAGCACTGATCCAGAGACTTGAATTTGAAAAGGAATAATGGTTGTAAATGGTTCATATATTCCCATCATAACTTACCTATGTGCAAAGTACAGATAGATACTTATTACCAAGAGGCTCCAGCTTCTACAAACTAGAAAAAATATCTCTAGCCTGATCTCTTTAAAATAGATGTCTGTAATACCACCAATTACTTTATTCTCCAAATTTCTAAATCTTTTATGAGACATATAATTTTATTTTAATAAGAGTTAAGTCTTTATATGGAATCTGCCTACATTTAGTTTTATGTAATAAACACTTTTCAGAGTTAAAGATTATTTTTCTCCATACTGTTTCTTTTTTACATCAATTGTCTGAGGCAGCAGGATAAAAATGACCTGAACTCAATGTATCAAATGTTTCTTTTTTTTTTTTTTTTTTT